TAAGTAAGATAGCAAGATTTCATTTTCTTTTGTTGAATAGATACGAGAATGTAAATGTGAAGATTGAACTTTCAACCTATAAAAGAAGATAACATATATATGTTTTATCCACTCAATTCAAATTGATAAAAAGAGAGAGAGCATTTGAAAAAAAGAAACAAGCTTATTAACTCAACATCAAAATTTTTAAAACAATATTCTTTTTCAAGAGGTCTCTAAACTTTAACGGTTATCTATTTAAAAAATTTATAATAAATCTTCAAATTTTTAACAACAGGTCTATTCAATCTCTGTACTAAAATCGTTACTACGCGTCCATGAGCTTTCAATTTTATATATAATAATGCTATTAAATTTGCAAGTATCACGCTACCAAACACATGAATATATATCTCTACCAAAAATTACCTCATCACATCATCATTATATTAAAAACTATCTAAACACCACAACTCAATAGACCCAATTTTGAAAGTTGAGCCACGACACATATGTATTAAATTTTTTAAAAAGGAAATGACTAAATAAAAACTTTAATAGATAATATAGTATCAAACTTAACTAAAGCGTTGGAAACTAAGAATTAGCCATCAAGGGACAAAAATTACCTGCAGCGAGAAGAACACAGAAAATGAGAGCCACGTTTGCTATCTCCGCCATTTTAATTCATAGAGAGAGAAACTGATCACAGAGAAAATCAAATAAAGAAGAAGAAGGAGGAGGAGTTGAAAATGGAGGGAGGGGCTTTATGGGAAAATATTTTAAAGCTAAATAATTAATTAAGGAGAATATATATGTACATATATGGAAAATTGGAAAAAGAAAAAAGAAAAAGAAAAGAGAGAGAGATTTTTGCATGGGGGACAGATAGATGGCGAGAGAGAGGTAGCAATTATGGGAAAAGGAAAACGTATGTGATTTTTATTTTTCCATGTTTGAAATATTTGAATTCCTTAAGCGTGTGTATTTAAAATGGAAATAATGGGTGTGTTTTGGTAATTAATGGATAAGAATTTTATTTTTCTAATCGAGAAAAATATGTTATTAAGACTTTTCGTTCGAGATATATGTTGATTATCACGGGGTAATGATAGTTTTGGCGATACTTTTTTATTTTATTTATTATACTTTTAAAATACATATTTTAATTATTGTATTTTTTAGAAATGACCAATTTGATTTCTATTTACAATATTTTTTTTAACACAAATTTTATACAAAATGGGAGTTATGAGTAAAAGTTTATGATCATTTCAAAAAATTTAGTGAATGATAAAGTGTCATATTAAAATTGTTATAGAAAGAAATGGGATAAAAATGAAAATAAATGAAACAAAATGATCGCTTTTTAAAAGTATCGAAATTAATTGGATATTTTAAATATATATGGACTAAAATTAACAAAAAATAAAAATAACATTTTCTCAATAACATATTGACAATAAGATCTTTCTTGATTTCTTGTTCACTTTCCTATATTTGGAATGATCTTATAATGGTGGTAGTGTGAGTGATAACGTAGTGGATTTCCTTCCTTTCCTAGGAGTATTCTAATTATGGTAATTGAAGTAGTTTTGTTCCATTTTTGTTTCTATTTTCTTAAATTACTTAATAAATGGATATCCAGACTGATTTCAGCTCTTCAAATAGGTTAAATGTTAAAAGCATAGTTAAACAGGTTAAAATACCTATATTTAATCAAAATATTATAATTCTTACCCACCTATTGTACTAAGAAAAAATGTATGTTAAATTTGAGCTACTCATGATAATTTGTATTGATTGAACAAATGCTAGGTGGTTAATTAATGATAATGATCCAGTCAACTATTTTTTTACGTTTGAAGAGGCTAAAATATATATTTTAAAAGTTTAATGACCAAATTTGTTAAGAATGTCTATAAATCAAAATAAACGTCAAGGATCAAAAATATAAATTACATGAGGAGTGATTTTGAAATAGCTAAAATCAAAATAATTTATCATTAAATTATATAAGACTAATTTTTGTGATATTTATCTTTTTTTATTGTCTATTTTAAAAAATTATATAATGATCTAGGTAAACAAAAATAAAATTGATGCCTACTTGAGCATAAAGTTAAGGACAACAATACTCTCAAGTATCTTCGTTCTAAGTTAGGCACTTGTCCAAAAACGTACATCAATAACTAATTGTAAATGGGATAAATAAAATAAATACGAATTGGAGTTTGATATAGCAAAGGGAAAGATAATAAGTTATATGGGAAGAAAAGGGTGGAGAGGCCGCCAAAGAAAATTGAAGCTCCAAGGTAACATAGTAGAGAGTAGGAGGGAGGTTCAAGATTTGGTTCTCTTTCTTATTTTTAATTAAAAAAAATATATAAAATATTTTTATGAAATTAATTAACATTTTTAAGGTTAATTAATTATTTTATTAGTGATTTTAATGTTAATTCATCAATGTTATAAAATATTTGTTCATTAATTTTATATAAATATTTTTCATTACTTCAGTAAAATGTTTTGTCTTAAAAGTAAACGTTTTTATCCCTTTATAAATCCCTCATTTTGTGTCTAAAAATATGTAAAACATATGTTTCGTGGGCTTCTGTATGTTTGAAATTGAGTAGGAGCATGTTCTTTGATTCCATTTTGCTTGGACGAGTGCATGTTGTTTGAGTTGGATGTTGTGTTAATTTGGGGAACAACCAACGTCTATACGATTTAACACCGTACCGAAATTGCTTTTAAGGTAGTAGTTCATCCATGACACAACAATTGTTTTCGTCAAATATCTCCTTCAATTCTAACTACATAACCAACACCTATTTACATTTGTCAAAGCGAGTCTAACTTAGCACTAATTTATATATATCTCTAACCAATAGGTTGTTTAATCCCGACCCCATATATTGTACTAAAAAATTATTTATATTTAGCAGTGACTCAACTTATCAAAGGCATAATTTTTTTCGCCAAAATAACACGTAATCACTTTGCATTAAAAAGCAACTTTTCAGTTCTCAAAATTTGTACATTTTGCGAGTGGAATATTAATATAATGTTTATTGCCGTATATAATGGATTCATGTTTTTAATTTACTTTTTAGTTAAAAAATGCATGGACGAGAAATATCAAATATACATGTCTTTAATCCATCTAATTATGTTTCAATTGACAAAAATGATTTCATGTTTATTTCATTTTGTTATTGGACAACATTTCTTAATTATTTGCGTAAGAATTTGATTTTATAATTTCATACCACTTGAATGCAACTCGGGAATATATCGTGTCAAAATAATTATGAAAATCTTATTAATAAAATAGTTATGAAAATAAAGTAATTTGTATGCACACTATCAAAATAGTAAAGAGAATAAAATAAAATTTCACAAATTACTTTTTTTTTTTTTTAGAAAATCATAAATTACATTAATCATTAGCCATGGAAATTACAAATTTAACTATAAAAATACAAATTACGACGAGTAAATAATAAAAAATGCACATTATTCCTAAGAATATGCATTACCTTACCCTCAATTCCAAGTTCCAAAATGGTCACATGAGATTCGCTATTCAATATTCGCAATTCATCTTTTCTACTGGCCTCCAATTTTCATTTAGGAAACAAAATCCTAACATTATTCTACAAGTCATATTTCAACGTTTACAACTAAACTATATTTTGAACTTTATAAAAATATGTGCAGTACGTAGAATCTGCAAAAATGAGTAGAGAGGCATAGTTACTCATACTATTTAAAAAAAAATCCTCACATAAAATAAAAATGTATTTGTAAAAATATCATTACTTTTTTTTTTTTTAGTTTCGCAAAATGGTTTTTAGTCCGTCTAGTGTTATTATATAAGTTTGCAATTTATGAAACTTTTATTAAAATTTTAAATTTAATACTATATAAATACATATTATTCTGTGCTATTTTTATAATTCCCTCGATAAAAAACGACATGCTTAGTAAATATAAAAAAATTGAGGAGGTATAATGGTCCAAATTTTGTTTTGAAGTACTTTTTAATATATTTTAGCCCATATCTTAATTTTTGAGCATTTTGGCCAATGGACATAATTTAGTGGAGCTTTCTGTTTGTGAAATAGAGGATTGAAACCCGATAGAGTAGGATCGCATCTAAAAATGGAGTGAGAGTAAGTAATGAAGAAGAAGGGGAACAATAGGACACACGATTTTACATGGAAAACCCCTCAACAAATTATGGTGAAAATCATGGGCAAGGGAATAAGAATCTCACTCAATAAAATGAGAGTTACAAACTTTTTTTCTCATGGGAACAAAATCTCGAAACTCTCTCTATCTTTATCTCACTAAGTCTCATGCTCACACTTTAACTCATTTGGAATTGGGGATTTTGGGATGGATTGCCTAAGTATGGGTGTCCACCTATTTATAACCTAACCATACTGACTCATCGAACACATTTTTACGACTATAAATATGTCACATATTAGCCCTAGAATCACAGATTTGCCACTATTGCACACCTAGGAAGCTCTAGTTACTTCAACTCTCCAAGAAAAAGCTTATTGAACAAGGTTAACAAACCACTTAACTTAGTAGCTTTTAAAAACTACTATAACAATCTTGGTAAAATACTTAATCTATTCGCTTCTAGAGACTTCTTGAGCAAGTTTAAAAAGTACCATCTAACAATTACGTAATAATAGTTTATTTTATTTTTAAAGTTTTAGAGTTCAATTTATTATCTTTTAACCTTTGTTTTTGTAGAAAAATAACTTTGTATGCATTTTGATGATTTATATTGTTGAAAAGAACTTTTAGCCATCAAAACGAGCATAACTCTGTGGTAATTGACATATATTTCTAACAAGAGGTTTAGGGTTCGATTCATCACCGATATGTTGTACTAAAAAACTAATTTTCTAAAAAGAAAAAAAAAACGACCTTTAGCCCCAAAATTTTTGGCGCGCTGTCTTCTTTCTCCTGCGCTATAAATAATTGCATTGCAAAATTACGCAACTTTTGGTCATCATCTTGCGCAGGAAGCTTCGGCTTCGGGACCTGAAGATTCATGGAAAGCAGCGAGACCGCCGGCGATGCCGATTGTCCATGGCAATCTTACCACACTGTCTATACCAATGCGAAAGCCGGTATTTATTCTCTCTCCAGTCCTCACGGACTGTTACAAATCTAGGGTTCTCTTTTGATTGTTCTGTTTAAAGTGTCGACTGTCGGACGTTAGTTTCAATTCACGGTGTCACTTTGATTTTACTTTGGAGGATTTAAATATAAAATTTATTTAGAGATAAATTCTAGTAATTGATGAGCCCGTCTGATCAATTGAAATAGTGTTTGAGTTGCTTAATCTTGATCAATTATATTGTTCCTGATCGAAAGAGAAAAATAATTAGGGAATGAGTTTATTTTTAGAGAAATCATAGCAAATATCTGATATTGATGATATAATTGCAAAAAAGGAAAGGTTTACTTTCTACAGATATAAAGCTCGATGTCTGTTGAATTCTGTTTATAAAAAATAATGAAATATGACGGATATATTTTGATATCCAATAATCTTAATTCTCCCTTTCTCTTCTTCTGCTGGTAAGGTATGGAAGGAGTTGACAAGGAAAGAGTGCAAAGAATTGTTTATGAAATGAGTAAAGGGTCAAAATATTTTGAAAATGAGGAACGTAAAGAGGCCATTATCAGAGAAAAGATTGAGAAGATGCGAGCTAGGTGTGTACAACTTACTGCTACGGATCTTTCTCACTATGAAAAGGTAGATTTAGTTGTGAACCCTCCCCCTTACCCTAGGCAGTAGGCGCATTGACATGCTTATTCATTTATGCTTTATTTACGTTCTTTATTCTATAGAAATTTTGTCCCGCTTCCTGGTTTATTTATTACTTATAATATAACTTTGGCTGCTTTTTGCCTCTTGAAAAATTGCATGTTCAGGGATTAGAACTGCCAACTATTATTTCCTAGTTAGAAAAACACCAAACCTGGAAGCTTTTATTCTCACTTTACATCCCATGAAATAGTGAGGGGATCAATTATGTAGTTAGATCTGCATTCTGTAGAGAGGTCGGTTCAATTGCCCAAAAAAGGATGATTATTATTTTTTTCCCCTACCTTTTTCCATTTCTTTATTATTGCCCACAGTTTGGCGATTTCCATGAAAATGGAAGATATCGAATCATACCATGCAAAGACTCGTGAAACATTAGGATTTATTTGTGTGTCTTCCTTACCACATCCATGAGTAATCACAACCTAGAGATCTGAAACAAACAAGACAACTGGGTAGTGGTCCCATGCTCAAATCTTGTTGAAGGATGAGTTCACTCTTAATTTTTGCCACAGCTATTTTAAGAACCTGATATTTTAGGCTGATCAGTATATTTCCTGATTCTTGCTGTATGGTCTTCATATTTGCTTATAATATCAGTTTAGCCAAGAGCTTTGTTCTCTTGTGAGCAGGTTGCAGATAAAAGAACTTTTGAGCTAGAAAGTACACGAGACCTATCAAGGATATGGTTGCATGTAGATATGGATGCTTTCTATGCCGCTGTTGAAACTTTAAGCAATTCTTCATTAGAGGGCAAGCCGATGGCTGTTGGTAGTATGTCTATGATTTCCACAGCTAACTATGAGGTTTATTATCTATATTGAATCATTGAATCATAAGTTACTGGTAGCATCATTTTTGTAACTTGTTACTTATACTGGACTAGGCTCGAAGATATGGTGTTCGAGCTGCAATGCCTGGTTTTATTGCACGTAGATTATGTCCAGAGTTAATCTTTGTTCCTGTAGATTTCAAAAAGTACACTTATTACAGTGATTTAACTAGGAAAGGTAAGAAATTGTGCTTCAAGGCGCTCCAAATGTATTTTGTATGTTTTGTCCCCATCCTTTAGTATTTACTCGTTTGTCTTGTCAGTATTCCATAGGTATGATCCCAACTTCTTGGCTGCTAGTCTGGATGAAGCATACCTCGATATAACTGAAGTCTGCAAAGAAAGAGGCCTAACAAGTGAAGAAGTAATCGCATATTATTTTTTTACTTTATCTAAAAAATTGATGTTTCGGTATTTAGTTGTGGCAGACACGTCTTTAAATCATACTATATGGTCTATATTAGATCCTTTTTAATTTATACTTTCAGTATATTCTAGAGAACCCAGAAACAGCATTAAAGGATGTTATTATGTAGTTACGGAAGTTATTTACATCGAGATTATATATTTCTGGATAAGAAATGAATGGTATCACATGCCGCAGATAATCCTTTGGTAGCAGTCTCTTTAATCATTTGATACTAAAGTTTTCCTCTTGCCATTTTGGTTAGATTGCTAGTGATCTCAGAACCAGTATTTATGAAGAGACTGGTCTTACGTGTAGTGCTGGGGTTGCTGCCAACCGGCTACTTGCCAAGGTTTTATAATCACTCTCAAGATCTATTGCATATATGAATCTCTTGTGGAAAAAAGAATACAAGTTTATTCATGTTTTGGCGACCGTGACCTGCTAATTGGCAGCATGTTTATTTTACTATATATGGGATGAAAAGAGTAGAATGTACGATTCCATTTCTCTTCTGTTGTATGGTTAATTGTGGTCCTGGTAGATGCAAACGAAATCACAAGAAATATTGTTCTTAAATATTCAAGTCAGTACAGAACAACTGAATTTCCCCACCATCTTGTTATTCAGGTCTGCTCGGACATTAACAAACCAAATGGACAATTCATTTTACCAAATGACCGGAGAGCTATATTGGCATTTATATCATCACTACCCATAAGAAAGGTATGTAGTTATTGCCTTTACATTGGAACAGAACTCAGGCTTTTATTCACAAAGATGTTATCAAATATCAAAGTTACGTAGATCCTCATGAATATTCCTAAGTTCTATCTTGTGGATGAAATGAATTAAAGAAATTATTATTTTGAGATTGGTGGCATTGGAAAGGTCACAGAACATATCTTAAGGGATGCTTTTGGAATTAATACATGTGAGGACATGCTGCAGAAAGGTGGACACCTCTGTGCGTTGTTTTCTCAATCCTCAGCAGGTTGGTGTGCTATAGTACAATATATTGCATCCCACAGATATTATATATTTGTCTTGATGACTTGAAGTCACTTGTTCTCTCTGTGTTTATTTTTATTTTTATCAATACAACTTTTTATCTTTTATGCTCATATTTTGATTTGTTTGAGTCCTATCTACTTTTTCTTTTTATTTATTAAATGAGATGCAAGTTTGTGGTTCTTGGTTTTTATTTAGTCTTTTATTGTTGCGTAAGCTGGCCCGGACATTCACGGATATAAAAAAAAAAAAATTATTTATTTTATTTGAACCACTAATGTTCTGCTATTAGTACAATGATGTACATTTTTTCAACAACCATGAAGGTCCAAGCTAGCATACACATACTTCGATCATAAAACAATTGCTTGATGTCACAATATCTGATATGGGAGAACTTTAGGTAGACGGTCACTATTATGTTAACACGTGGTGGTCGTTGTGCATCATTTTTTTTTGTATTGCATATAGTTGTGGTTTTTTTTAATGAGAAAGTGTTTTGCTTAAAAATGCGTATTAATTAGTTATTAATGCCTAATAGAATTTTTTTAAGAACTAAAGAAAAATAAATAATGAATTTCATATAAACTGAACTTCAGATCCAGTCAGGTTTCCATGATCTAAGGGAGGACCTAATATCAGTATTTTGTGTAACTGCTATAACTGAATGCTTACCGCACTACAATTCACATTACTCACGAGATTTTTTTGTTCTTTTCAAGCAAGCAATCAAATGGGCATATTGAATTGAAACATTGGAATATTGTACGGGGGAGAATATATTCTCCTTTTTGCTGACGACATCTTTATGTTGATAAATTATGGAAGATGGTCTCTAGAGAGCCAATTGTCAAGAACATGATATGACATGTTATTAAGATATCAACAATATATGAGGTATTTTTTTGGCTTACTGTCGAAAACGTTGTCTACTATTAAGAAAAAAGAAAATTACTTCAATAGATTTGACATGCTGTTGTTTGTCATGCCAAACGATGGCAGCGGCCATATGCATGAGTGAGATGGACAAATTATTTTGTCGGTCCCTCTTTATTACATTGATGTGGATGCATCAAGACAGAAGCTCTATTTTTGATATGCAAGACAGAGCTTCAAGACTGAAGCTCTATTGGAGTAGTTATGGATTTGGATATTGTGATTTACCAAGAGGAGATAATACAACTATATAAGGTGTTGTAAAGGTCCATTGCAAGCGGATGAAATCTGTCAATAAGGGATGAATCAGTTTCCTGCTCCAAGACAGAAAAATCTCTTCAATGTAGATGTAGTTATGCATTTTGGATTTTGTGCCATACCAATTACATATAGATGAATGTTAGAATACAAAAAATAAAGGTCATGTAAAGGGGACTACCCTGTCGACATTATCTAAATCCTCTGCCATTCTAGTTTTTGTATCTCTTGTTGAATGTGGTAGTTGTGGACCTGTGGTTCAATTCTATTAATTACTTAATTGAATGTCTTGTGAATTTTTTCTGCTTGTTTTGATTTATAAGATTTAACATCAATATCCAGAACTTCTATTATTATGTCGTGTTATGGTCTCTTCATCTTGTGCTGCTCTTTAGTTATTGATTGTTGTATCACTTTGTCCAATCTTTTTAGTTTAACCTATGCTTGCAGATTTTTTCTTGTCGGTTGGGCTTGGCCTTGGGAGCACTGATACTCCCCCGGTGAGATTGCGAAAGAGCATCAGTAATGAAAGAACGTTTGCAGCCACCGCTGATGAAAGATTAATTTTCCAGAAACTTGGTAACTGCTCCTTTTTTTTCTTTTTTATTTATTTATTTTATTTATAAAAACATTACCGTTATTTGAACTTTTACTGCATGAGCATGATAGTCTGGGTTGCTAGTTTGACATTCTATTGAAATTTTCCTCCAAACTCAAATTCCAAATTTTCCCTCAGCTTTATCTTCAGAGTTTATTCATGGATATTGAGTTTGAATATACCTCCCTTATGCTTGGACTTTGTCCTCCTTTATACGGGTTTGATGTATTTTTATTTCACTATTTTTTCTTGTTGATTAAATTTGAGAAAACAATATGATGATAGGTGACGTTTTTATTATTTTGGTCATCATTTAGAAGACTGGCAGTAGAGAGAGACTAGTATTTGCTTTGGGAGCAGGAAAATGAATATGCTGTAATTAACTTCTTCAACCAAAGCACTAGAAAATCGAACAGTTGCCCAAAGATTACTCTGTAAATTATTGTGGTAACAAATACCTTGAATGTTAGTATTTTTTACCAGTAATCTTGTAAATCTTGTATAAATTGCAGCTGACCTTGCGGAGATGCTATCTATGGACATGCAAAAGGAAGGTCTTAGTGGGCGGACACTGACTGTTAAACTAAAAACTGCATCCTTTGAGGTACATATTAGCCTGAATTCTGTTTAGTCTGCTCAGATCGAATAGTGTAGAAGAAAATCCTCATTTTTAATATGTTGTTGAGATTTCAGTACCCACATGTTAAGTTGTGAATTCATTAACTCTACTCTGTCTTTCTTCTCGCCATTCTTGATTTGATTTTACTGCTCGAATTTACTTGTATAATCTACAGGTTAGAACCAGAGCTGTAACTTTGCAAAAATATATTTGCTCCAGCAGTGACATCTTACAACATGCATCAAAGCTGCTAAAGGCTGAACTGCCTATTTCTCTGAGATTAATCGGTTAGTTCTTGATTTTATAACTTGTTTCCTTCTTAAAAAGTGCTGATAAAATAACTTAGAGTTCATTTTTCACTAAAGTAGATCTCGTTTGCTTGGTTTTCTATGTACTTATATGCTCATAATATGATCCACTGTATATCTGGCTTATGGTGAAGAGTAAACTTTGAAATTCTTGATCTTGCACCATGTATTATTTACATTATACAGAGGAATTTTACTTCTTCAGGGCTGCGGATATCTCACTTCAACGAAGACAAGGCCATTGTTGAGTCTGATCCGACCCAGAGATCTATTACTAGATTTATTATATCGGGAGATGCTACCAGAAAGAGTGTGGGTGATTGTTGCTCCCTAAATCCTGACTCCGACGACCACGGCTTCATGAACGACAATGAAATTGATGTATTCATCAACGGTACTGAAACACACCATCAGGATTGTGGCGATCCAAGAATTGGCAACAATTTCTTGAATATGGATGACAGTAACTGTACATTTGGCAATGATGTCGAGTTGGAGAAATTTAAGAATCTTTCAAGCAACGTCAGTACTGATCAGGTATGTACAGATCAAAGACTGGATTATGGATCATCATCTTTCTTGCTACTGGCACTAAATTGAAACGTAACTAAAATGTATTCCATGAAGTATGTTTACGGCTCTACCTCTACAGATAGCTTTGATGTAATTACAATACGTGTAGGTGGACAATCTTAATGCTATAGAAAGCATTTCGAATTGCTCTGCTGCCTCCGTCTCGGAAGCACCCATAGCGGCATGTGCTTCTCTTCCTGGAAACCTCGAGGGCAAGTACGATAATAATGTGGCTGCCAGAACTCATGTCAATGAGGTAAGATCACCGGATAACGATGGACAGATATGGTGGATCGATGACTACAAATGTACAATCTGTGGTGCTGAATTACCAGTGAGTTTTGTTGACGAAAGACAAGAGCACATAGATTTTCACATTGCGGAAAAACTTCAGGAAGAAGAATCTGGCATTCGCTCGAGAACCCTTATGCCAAGGCAAAGGTAAAATTCTAGATTGTAGTGTTGGTGATCTTATTTTATACTCTGGGATTGAGTTGGAATTTTGTTTTAACTACAACTGAGTCGGCTATTACGCCCATTCTTAATACGGTGTCCATATCATTACGTGAATTGGAATATGATGAGAGAATCTTCAGCTGAAATCATTGAGAAAAAGGATTGAATGATTTGTGAAGTTGAAATCTAAATTCTTAAAAGGTAATAGTGGGCAAACCGTAAACGAACATCGCAAAGACCCTTGGTATATGGATTAATGTCGGGTTGAACGTCGAGGATGCTTGATGCATGTATTTTTAGAAAACAAACATTTTAGATGTGTTTTTATCAAATAATAGGTGATCAAGGCTTGAAGACATGTTTTTATTATCATGGTTGTACTATTCCTTGTAATTTGCGTTGTTCTAACAAGTCTAAATCTACCAGGATTGCTGACAAGACTCAACTGTCAAGTCAAAGGAAGCAGAAAAAGCAAAAGTCAACTCCGAAGAAAGAGGTCAAACATATTCCTATTGACTTATTCTTCGTGAAGAGCAATCAGAACTTATAATATTTTAAAATTTATTTGTTGTATATATTTGTTCATATGCCATGAGATTCAAATTTTTATTTTTCTTATGCAGCATCATAAATTTGTACACAAGTATAGTAAAAATATATTGTCTTGCCGAATATCCTAATAATTAATCAGTTTTTTTTTCATTTATTATTTATTTAAGGTTTGTATTTCTTCTTGACAATTTAAATTTCGTTTGATTACTATTTGATCTTAAATTTTATATTTTTAAGAATTAAACTTGATAAACACATTTTTTTTTCCATGCTTAGTTTTTCACTTTAACAAAAATAGTATATTCCATACTCTTTAAATCTAGCATATGACTTACACTTGTTTTAATCTCTAATGTTTGAGTTTTTTTTCTTTTTTTCTTATTTATTTATTCTTTTGATTTTAATCTATGTCGTTTAAAACTATTCACGGGTCAATCCCTACTACATTTGGTTGCTTGTAGAATTCCCTCTAAATCATTTACTATTTACGTTGGTCTTCATTGACCACTTGAACCATCCGGTTTATGCTATTTTTGTAATTCATAAAATGCTTAGGAGCGAGTACACAGAAGAGACATATTTCTAAATCAGAATTTTGATAAGAGCTAAAAAGGAAGCATTAAAATAAGCAACTCTTCTTACTTCATCGGTACATTTGATTTTGCTTTGGCTGACCCTCCCCACCTCAACCAGCAGGGGGAAGTCAGATAGAAAAAGCCTGCATATTTGATGGCAACACTGTATGCATAAACATATCCTGAATCACAACATATTCTAACTTTCAATTCCTTGGTGTTTCCGCCCCTTCGAACGATTTCTTCTCTCTTGTCTATTTTCACTTCCTTTCAACACATTGATATACTTCTTACAATCTGCATTTGCTCGATGTCCACATTCCAGCGGAGGCTCGATCAAGCCTATGCCAACTCTTAATCAAGAGTTGAAACAAGTGGCTGGTGGCAATGACATTGAACTCCTAGCTCCAGCATGGTTCTTCCTATAAATTGAAGAAAAAGAAAAGGAAAAGGAAAAAAAATAGGCATCAATGTCTATATGCAGAGCTCATTTGAAGTTGGTTCTTTCCAGATTTGATAAGGAGACATGAAAGTTAATCAAGCTGGCAACGAGACGATATGTATTTACGAAAATTGGCAAAAGAGAAAAAGATAATGCGCAAAACATCCTTGTGCAACTATAGAGGCCACTTCAAAATGGCACAGTACCATTGAGTAGAATCAAGAGGTTATTATTATATGTTTCTGCAAATGCACTCTTTAAGAAGACAATGCAAAATGAGATTGACCACACAGCACAATGGATTCATGCACTAGACTTTTAAGTCTAGTAAACATGCCAGACATAGTTCAACAATTAAGGAATTCATAACTTTTTCTCTCTAAATCGAAGTTTCGAATCCCTACACTACACTTATTATATCTAATATGTACTCATACTAATATTCACAAACATGAGACCCGTCTCACCTGGCATCTTGGCTACATCAGAGGTGAAGATCTTCTATGTCAGGTAGAATACTTGTTTGTTTACCAGAGCTTCTACTAGGTAGGCTGACCACCAGTTGCCCACATGCACCACTAATATCTTGGCCCATCTCCTTACGAATTGTTGTGCGTATATTATATGTACCACGAAGAACTTTTTGGAATATCAATACTTTCTCGCTACTACTGGTTCTGAATTGGCTTGAACTACCAATAGGATTGAACGGTATTAAGTTCACAACCTGCTTTGCCAGGAACACGTACTTCAGTCACATCAAAGTTGCTAAGCAAACAAGGTGCTAGAAACATAAATCTCCAAGAAAATCCCTCACCAATGTTAACTTACACATATGCAATATAATGAAAATGCAATTTGATACACAACGTATTTCAACAATTTAACATCAAGAATTCCAGCCAATTTGACAGCTTACCACTTGGAATGTCTCTAATAATTTTCCGAGTAGGTGGGCATGATGCTCTTCATCATTCACTCCATCAAGCATTATGTACTCAATTAATATCTTTTGTTGACTGAAACCATAGACACGACATAATTTTAAATTGGAGAAGGGTTGAAGTATCGCAACATCTTCAGCAGAAGCAAATGTGAAATTTTTACCTCCTTTTCTGATACTCTTGGAGTGCATCCATAAGTTTTTGTAGGGGAAAGGCTCGAGCTGCAGGCATTATCTGACAACGTATATCTTGAACGGGTGCATGCAATGATACRGCCAACTTCAATCCTGGGAGATCATCATGTAGTTTGTTTATAGCATGAATAATCCCAACCTACAGACATGAGAAAGAATAGACTTTGACTATAACCTCCTTGTCACTGTTAAACAGCACAAAATTTAATACACCTCGTATGATAATGAAGGTAGAAATTTAAAGAGGAAACGGGGTAGAGGGTAAAACATCAAAGGAAGAGAAAATGGATAAGAGAATAGAAACTGCCTTTTTGGGCTTTCTTCACATTATTTTATGATAAATATACATCAGGACCAGACTTCATGAAGAAAACTTAAAAATCTCATGCATAAAGGAAAAGCTTGAAACATCTCAATAGCAAATTCATAAGTTTACTATTATTATTATTATTATTAATCTTTCCTCAACTATGTTGAGTCTAAAGAATGAAGTATAGTTGGATGTCAATCAAATTGCATGAAGGGAAAAGCATCTTAGTCCTAAAAATTCAAACGTGAATCATACTAGATGAGAAGGCAAATTCCAAGTTCTTATAAAAAGAAAAAAAGAAGAATAAGCAAATTCCAGGTTCGTGTGTGTGCACGTGCACCTCTGATTTTTGTGACATCGCTGCTAACAAGTAAAGACGCCAAAATATCTCCATTTGTACTCAATCCTTAAAGACGTGAGCGCCAAAACTTGTAAAAAAGAGAGGGAAAGTATTGACCAATGACCACATTTTCATCCCCATTGGAGCTTTTAGTCTTATGGAGACACTTGTTGAAACTTTTGACTTTTGCTAGGTTCTTGCAAGAGATAGGTGAAATTGAACCCACATGTAGGCACTTGTGGCCAGGGTGACATGGACAAACATGATCAGTCCAAACCAAATGGAACCATGCATAATTTGATGTTTCTTGTTGGGATATTGCAATTTCCCTCTCCTATTATTGTCATTATTATGACAAATTGGATGGCTTCTTAACCTCGAATACCACTATGTGACGGGAAAATGTGAGCTTCTCTGTCCCATTTTCAATTCGACACTAAGATGAGAGCTGTGGTAAAAGGTCAAACTTTATAAATTCATACAAACTTAGCTAAGACCATAGAAATAGAAAAATGGTGGACCAGAGTACATACAGTTGATATAGTGATTCTCTTAGGTGATAATAAGAATGGTGAGCCTGTCATGGCACGAACAGCTTCCACTAAGGCGGAGTAGTTATTCAATGGCTCTCCCATTCCCTGCATCACAAAATAATAAAATCAAAATGAAAACAAAAATATTCTGAGAGTAGAAAAAATAATCATGTATAAAAATGAAAGGCAAGCAACTAACAAAAAGAAAACAGAGGAAAATTAAACAGACGTAGTGCCACAATCTGCTAAGAAAAATAAAGTAAAAGAAAGCTCTGGGCTTGTGTGGTTGAATGCTCAAGAGAAGCCAACAACAGCATCCTAGTTCCTATAACATACCGTTAGTCATTAATCACTACATCTGTCCATAATATCATAACACTCTAGAAATTATTCAATTTTCAAACTAAACCTCACAAGTTTACAAGTTTTTGACAACAAAGAATGTTCTTTCACAATGTCGGTGAAGAAGTGATTCGGTGTCTAGGCATCCTTATGCTGATAGAAAAAACAAACAACGGATAGAATGAAATCACAGAAGGATGTATCCCAAATGGCCACGAAGGAGAATTTGTGCATTACTTCACGTGCTCCACCATTAAATGGGAAATTTGTCACTACAATAAAAATTCAGACAAACGGGAGGGTGGAAGAATCACCATGAAAACAACATTGCGTATTTGGGACAAACGGGAGGCATGAACCAATTGCTCTACTATCTCCCCTGAAGTCAGATTGCTTTTAAATCCCATTGTTCCAGTTGCACAGAATCTGCAGCCCATTTTGCAGCCAACCTAAGAACAGACACAGAGAGAGACTTGCAACGGAAAAATCGGGAAAAATAAAATCAAAGGAGGCTAGCAATGCAGATGAAGAACTAAAACCTGCGAAGAAATACAGAGAGTAGACCGCAGTCCGCCTGGCCGAGGTTTGCCGCCATATTTTCCCAAACGAGTATCATATCTCATAATGACAGCCTCCACAAAAGCCCCGTTCTAGCAAAACGAGCAAAAAGGAAAAGAAAAACAATAATCGGAAGAATACCGCTATAATCAGCAGAAATTCACTACTTGCTTCGAATTACCATAACTCAATTGTCTAAATTGCCAATCATTTTCAGAAAAGAAAAAGAGGGGCGCACCTGAAGCTTGACAAGGAGCTTGGAGGTGACCTGATCGGAGGAATCGACGACGGAATGGACGGTGGAAGTAAGAGGCTTGAACTTTGATCGGAGCAAGGCGTAGGCAGGCGAGGGGAGGGAAGGCACGGCTCGCTCCCAATCGAATTCGGTGGCGAAGTCATGGTTGAGGAAGTTGTTTGGATCGTGAAGCAAGCGTTTCCAAATGAATGGGACGAAGGTGGATTTGATTCCGGCGTTCTCGAACTCGCGTCTCAGTTCTCCGGCATTGAATACGGACCGAAACGCCGCCATCGCTCCGCCGCAGCCTTCTGGTTCGGACTCTGCCCTACAGGCTACAACTACAAGGCAGTTTTTTTTTTCCTTTTCCAATTTACCCTTTTAATGGGTTTTATTTATTTATTTAATCCAAAAATTTTGAAAAACTTCCAATAGTAAGTTCGAATTATAACATTTTGAATGCAATAAATATATTCGAGCTATTCACTTATATAAATTCTGGTTAATTTTATCTGATGAGGAAAAGGGGGAAAATGAGATAATTAAATAAAATAGAGATAATTAAATAAATGAGCTATTCTCTTATATACCTCGATTTTTTTGCAATATTTCAAATTGTTTTTATTAGTATTACCGTACCGGAAAGATTCAAACTCATAACTTTTTTTATAAGAGAGGTGTCATTGGTTAAATCATGTCCTGATTGATATTTTATTTGCTTGAAAATTCGTACCTATTTTGTTTAGTTCAATTTTTCTTTTACTAATATACACTTTATCAATACTCATCGAGATATGTCAAAACTTATTTTAATTAGTGATAAAAATTAAAAAGTACTCATATAGGTAAGATTAGTCAACCTAAGGTTAGATGCTAGAGTTCGAATCTCCTCTTTCGATTCATTGTACTTGAAAAAACTTAGTCGAGTTAGATTTTTCTTGGCAAACTATAAAAAGGGAATTTTGATGGATCTCAAAATTCAATCAACTAGGAAATCTGATGCCACAAAACCAACATATTTTATCACGTCCAAACTAACAAATTTCCAATTTGTTCTAATCTCATTATACTTTCACGTCACAACAGTTGACAAATTAACCCAAATTTTAAATAAATATTGAAAATAAATTATATTATACCTCTCAAAAATCTTTAACAAATTCAATCAATGAATCAAAATTACAAGTTCAATACGACACAAAATAATATTTTAAAAATATAAGAACTAAAATAAATCGTTCCACAAAATGATAAAAATTAACATTTTAATAATAAGAAAAAAAAAAGTATAAGAGGCCGAAATAATATTCTAAGTTCTAACCTATATATAAATGGCAACCGAGACTGATTCGGTTCGGTTCGGTTCGCATTATTAACAGACCCGACCGATCTTCTTTCATCGCTCATCTTCTTCTTCTCGTTTCTCTCGCGTCTGCGATTGTAATCAATGGAAGAAATTGATCTGAGAATCTTGAATTCACTTTGATTCGTCGGGATTGGGATCTCGCAATTCTCACTCCATCGACGTTAATCATGGGCAAGGTTAGAGCTCTTCCTCCTCCTTCAGATCTTTCCCCCTCAGTCCTTTCCTTCCTCGATCATCAGCTGTACAACAAAGAAACTCTCGCGCAAGGCCCCACCCTCGTCCTCGACCTTCAAACTCGCTGCCACCAATTGGATCAGTCTCTAATCGAGCTCAATCGGAACCTTCAACATGCTCTTCTCTCTCACTCTTCCTTCTCCGATCGTCTTCATGCCCTCCTTGGAGATGTTAATGGAAAATTGGTTGGTCTTGAATCACTCACTCGCTCTCGCAGTCCCACACAAGGTTTGTGCAGATTGTTTGGCTTATGCATTGAATAATAGTTATCTGTATGGTGTGTACGAAATGGGGAATTCTTGTGTATCGTTGTGCCCTCTATGTAACTTTTTGTAATTGAGTACGAGAATTCTGCTCGGTGTTGTGTAACAGGAGTTGGGATAGCTGATGGGGTGCTGGGGAAGGAGCTATCGTCGCTGGCAAAAGAAGTGGCGAGAATGGAGGCGGTACGAATGTACGCCGGTGAGTTACTGTTGGCCTTCTAGTTTATTTTTACCTGATTATGATAATGTGATTAGGGGAAGTACGTTGAAATGTTGGAATGGGGATAGAATTCGTATTGGTATCATGAATGACCATGTTTGTATCTCAGTCTGTGCACGCGTGATTATGAGTCTGGGATTTTTGTTTTGTTATGTGGATGATTATGTTTCCGGGATTTCTATCCTGTTATGTGGAGATTGGAGAGTGAAGATAATGACGGACTGAATTTATTTTGAGGAAATACGAATAGCAACAAAAATCAGCAAAAAAGATTTCAGGTAAATTAACTCAACGTACTTATAGCCTATCAGTAACAAAAAATAAGATTACTATTTTAGAGCTGCCAACGGGAGGAGTCGATATTGAGTATTTAGCACTGGTGTTGGAAGCTCTCTTGAGATCGATTGAGAAGGAGCTGCAATTTGATTTTTGAGTATAGATTTGGGAAGTAATTTCATAAAAATATCTGCAATCCAAAGTTGTTGCCGGAAGAATAATTTAATGAATTAATGACAGAGAGAGTTGAGAGGGGGAAGGTTGTTATGGACTGGGTAGGGAGGAGCGGAACCACAAAGCATATTTCTCAATATTAGTTAATACCTTCATGATTTCCTTTGACACAGGATACAGGGAAGTAGAGTTAGGATAGGGAAATTTGGAAGCGTGGTGTTCTTGTTATAGAAACTGATCAACTTTTGTAGTATTTATGGAAAGAAGGAAGGGGTGTGATTTTTGGGTGGAAAATATCTTTGGGAAATATTTTGAAATTGAAGGAGTTAATATTGAAGTTTTCTAAAGTAAAGGTTGATAATGAGACGTTAACTAAGTTCTTGGAAGACGACTGGTTGGATGGAGGGTCATTTGGCAGTTAAATATTCAAATTTTGTGTGTGGTGATGAATAATTAAGTTCTTGGAAGATATGTCTCATCTATTTCTTTTCTTGTTTGCTCAGTAGGAAGGTGTAGTGTAGATATGAATAGCTATGCATTAATGCTGTAAATCCTTTTACGTGGACTTCATGGTTGGCAAGGAATAGTAGGTTGTTTAACAAGGTTTCTAGGCAATGGGTAGGGGTACTAGATTTTGTTAAAGCTATTTGTTCTTTATGGGTTCCTTTAGATTGAAATTTGGGTGATTATTCGTAGCTGGGAAGGTGTTCTTGTTTCCTTAGCTAAATGTTTTTGTTTGGTGGAGCAACTTGTACTCAGGGAAGTTCTTGATGAATTCGCATTCATTTCTGTTTTCTGTACTGTAAACTCTTTTCAAGATTTTGTTACTTTTCACTGTATCAATAAAAAGTGTGTTTGTGTCCCTAGAAAAAAAGGAAAGTTGGGATTGCACCATGTATAGGTTAACATGAAAACTTCGGTATGGTATGCTTGCCATATATGAGAATTTAATTAAATAATTAAAGGTTGGGGTCAGGGACTAAATTTTTACTTTTATAAAATTGAACTGACTAAAATAAAACAAAATGAGATGGAAGTTGTTCCTTTTTGACTGGATGATTGGAGCAGGGAGGTTGATTCAAGGAGTGGTTCCCTAGAATTTTCTCTCTATCCACTAAGAAAGAGAGTCGCACTTCATATGTTTGGGATTTTAACAAAGTGTAAGAAGGCCTTAATATGGCAGAGGAACCCGGTCTTAGTGCTTAGGCCCAGTTGGTGCTGATAGACCCGTATGAGTGTATACAGCTTGTAAGTGGGGGAAAAATGTTGTGCCTATGTAATTTGTAATAGACTTCATATTTGATGTTGGGCTCTGGCATATTAGTTAGTTAGAACTTAGAAGGGGGTCTTATATAGGATGATAGATTTTTGGAAGGTATGTTTTTGAGTAATTAGTTATCTTGTATTCTGATTGAGGCTAAGGGGAAAGGTAGGGAACTCTAGATTCTCCTTTAGCTTATACATTTTGATGCATAAATAGAAACCATAATCATCTATTTTGTTTAAAGAGACTGTGGAGAGCTTTTGGGAAGAGCTGACCAAACAACAACTTCTTCCTCTTTTAAGCATCGTGGAATCTGTAATCCCAAGATTGGAAAAGCAGGGACCTATTTTTATTGATCATTATGCTTTTTTCAACTAGATATTTCTGCACAAGATATTTATCCTTTTCCTAACGCCTTTTTTCTACTGTTCTTTGGTTTATGGTGTAAATTCTTTTTGCACCCCAAAAAAAAATCCTTCATTTTCTAGCTTCCTTATACATCATTTTTTAATTTTTCCAATAAAAGCCCATTTGAGAGGAAATAGGTTCAAATTCCATGATGATCACCTATCTTAGCAATTAATTTATGTGTTTTCCGGCATCAAATCTTATAGGGTCAGGTATGTTGTCTCGTGAGATTAGTCGAGGGTGTGTCTAAGCTGGCCCAAACACTCACGAATATTAAAAAAAAAAAAAGCCACGATAATAATTTCTTTTGTAGCTTTCAGTTTTTAAAAATTATTCTTTTTTCTTCCCAACTATTTTGTATCCTTTTCACCTTTCTTAAAAAAAGTTTTTTAATACTACTTTTTTTGTTTTTAAAACTTGGCTCAGATTTTGAAAATATTTTTAAAAATAGAAAATCGTAGGTGGAAATAGTGTTTATAAGCTCAATTTTCGAAAACAAAAAACAAAAAAATAAAAGTGTTATCAACTGGGCCTAAATTAACTCTAATCTAAATGTACTGCCTGAAAACCATTTCAAAGATAACAAGAAACAAGAGAATAGAGATATGTTTCTAGCTTATTATTATGCAACTGGACTGCAAACCTTATGTTAACATATTTGTTTATATATTGCCAAATCTTCAAAGTACGTCTCTGATTTCTTGTTTTCATTTTCTTAACATATTACAAAATTTATTTTCCTTTCAACTCTTTCAGAAACAACAATGAAGCTTGATGGCATGGTTGGAGATATTGAAGATGCCGTATCTTCCGCAATAAACAAAAATTTAAGGAAACATTCTCCGGCACAGAGTTCAGAGGTGAGAATTTTCCCAACTCTAAATACAAAGCAAAAAGGGAAGGAAACCCCCCCGATTGGCTGTTTTGCCCAACATCCCTTTGCCATATTAATTTTCTTTTCTTGAGATTTTTTAATGAGCAAGTTAGTCATACATTTTTTAATCAATCCCTAGATCATTGTGGAAAACACTAAATAAAGTGCAAGTTTTGAATGTTTAGTCAAGGTTCATTTTGATAGAAATTTGGTTTTTCTTTTTAGTTCTTTAAAACCACCTTATCTTTTAAAACATAACTAAAACCATTATCCATATCACATGGGCCTTATAAGAAAAAATGTCTGAAATGAACCATTTCTTTTATCCTCTTCTCATTCGACCATTTCCACTCCCACTTCCCATCATGTTCTCCTCTGCACTTGACCATTAACTTACTGCATATCATTATCAGTGCAAATTCAATCGTGAGGATTGAGAAATGTAAATGGTACATCGTAGAGAGATAGTCTTAAGAAATTTGTCGGTCGTGATGTTTTTTCTTGTGAGGATGTGGGTAGTGTATGCATCCATGATATTTGGGCTGTTGGTTTACCTGTTAAGGTCACTTTTATTTTGTTTTTGGAAGGACTTCGGAAATTAGAAATTGTGAGAATGAATGTTAGTATTTTGAGAAGGGTGAGAAAGACCGATTTGGTTGTTTTAGACAATTTTACTAGCAATTGGGCCTGTAGTCAGATACAATGTTTGCCAAAGTTTTGGAATAAAGTTTGTTTTATGCTGTATTGTGTAATATTTGGTTGAAAGGAATTGGAGAATCTTTTTAGGTGTTGATTGGTCAAGGGGTTTGAGGGTGATAGGTATCTCCTTTACTAATTGATAAGATCAAAAGTAAATTACAACCTTTCAAGCCAATGACTTTGTCGAGAGGGTCATCTAACTCTCCAAACTACCACCCGGAGAAAAGCCTAATATCCAGTTCAAACCCAAATAACTATACAATATAAAGACAACATAAATAAACATAACTGACAGAGGAAGTTATAACTCCCTTTCTACATATTCAAATATCAGAAACCAACTAAAATTGCTCCCTCTGATTGTTGGAACTGCCCAAAATTCCAGCTTTGCCCATTCTTGAATACACCATTGGAATCGGAGGTTTAACAGAGGGCTAGCACATTTTAATGGCTCTATTGGGGTTCACTCTTCGAAAGGGCCTATTTCCCCCAATGGGTCCCCTTTAGTAATTTTCTTTCTCACTTATTTCTTGTTGTTGGTTTGCTAGTTTTTAGGTTGTCTTCTCTTTACCATTTTTTTCATCTTAACAAAAGCTGGTTTTTTAGTTAAAATAAATAAAAAGAAAATTTTGAAGTGTTAAATTATTGAATCTAATAATAAAAAGTGTTCTTATCGAAGTGGCGAAACAATCTTTTTGCAAATACCTATGCTATTGAAGTGGTGTAACATAGATTCCTGTTTATCCTTTTGCAATTTATATTCTTTTAACAGCCATAAAACAGAGATTTTGACATTCTTGTTTTTTACAGGATGCAAGGCTGCTTGCTATAAAAACCCTTAAACTTACCGAAGATATCTTAACATCAATTGCAAAGACACGCCCTCAGTGGACACATCTCGTGTCAGCAGTTGACCATAGAGTTGATCGTGCTTTTGCTATTTTAAGACCTCAAGCAATTGCAGATCATCGCTCCCTTCTTGCTTCCCTTGGATGGCCCCCACCTCTCTCCAATATGACTGTTACTAGTGATGCAACAAAATTGACTGAATCCCAAAATCCTCTCTTTACAATGCAAGGAAGGCTCAAACAACAATACTGTGAAAACTTTCTCGCCCTATGCAGCCTACAAGAGCTGCAAAGACGGAGAAAATCTCGACAACTCGATGGCCATAATAGAGAGGTTGCTTTGCAACAGCCCCTTTGGGCTATTGAAGAGCTTGTCAATCCTATATCATTAGCAGCTCAATGTCATTTTTCGAAGTGGGTTGATAAGCCAGAATTTATTTTTGTTCTCACTTATAAGATTACCAGGGACTATGTCGATTCTATAGACGAAGTTTTGCAACCTCTTGTTGACGAAGCAAGGTTGGTAGGGTATAGTTGCAGAGAAGAATGGATATCATCAATGGTGTCCTCCTTGTCAACTTACTTGGCTAAGGAGATCTTTCCAAATTATATCAGTCAATTGGATGAGACTGGTACTGATATTCAATCACAGGCTAGAATATTATGGCTTCATCTAGTTGACCTTATGATATCGTTCGATAAAAGAATCAAATCACTTGTTGAGCAGTCTGGAATTTTGCTTTCTTTTGATGAAAGTGGAAACATGCAAAGAATTTCTTCATTAGCTGTTTTCTGTGATAGACCTGATTGGCTTGATTTATGGGCAGAAATGGAGCTAAGTGATGCATCGGCTAAACTGCAAATTGAGGTAGACAATGAGAGAAACTGGGCTGATAAAGTTCCCGCAGCAGCTCTATCTTCTTCCTCTGAGCATTCAAAGTCTCCTGCAGTTTCCACAGCCTTTATTAAGCACCTCTCATCTTTGATTTATCGTTGTCGATCTCTGCCTAGTATCTCATTGAGGTCAAGATTTTTCAGGCTAGCCGGTTCCCCTATCATTGCTAAATTTTTGAATTGTATCGTAATCAGGTGCCAGGAAGCTGAAGGTTTAACTGCCTTGACAGACGATGATGCACTCGTTAAAGTCACAAACTCGATTAATGCTGCACGATATTTTGAATCTGTTCTAAAAGAATGGTGTGAAGACATGTTTTTCCTTGAGATGGGATTGGCTTATGATGATCAACCAAGCGTATCAGATAGTAATGGTGATATTCATGGGCTGTTAGAAAGTCAATCAAATGGTATCATCGACCCAGCTATTAGAAATTTGGAGGAGTTCAGGCAGGAATGGGTCGGGAAAATATCCACAGTCACTTTGAGGGGCTTTGATGCTCAAAGTCGAGATTACGTAAAAAACAAAAAGCAATGGAAGGAAAAATGTGAAGATGGTTGGACAGTGTCGAGGCTTTTAATTGGGGCTCTGGACTATTTGCAAGGAAAAATGTCAGTTTTAGAGAAAAGTTTGAATGCTATAGACTTCGTTTCACTCTGGAGAACCTTAGCTGCTGGCATCGATCGATTTCTTTTCAATGGCATACTGATGAGCAATGTGCAGTTTAATGATGTTGGAGTAAAGAGGTTTGCTGATGATATGGAGGTGTTGTTTGGGATCTTCAGGTCATGGTGTTTGAGGCCTGAAGGTTTCTTCCCAAAAATAAGTGAGAGCTTGAGATTGCTGAAGATGAAGGAAGAGCAACTTAGAAGTAGTTTGGTGGGAGAGGAGACTTGGATGAAGGAAAATGGGCTAAAACATTTGAGTGCAACTGAGGCAGAAAAGATTGTGAAGAATAGGATATTGTAGAATTAGAATTACAAAGGCAAAATATTAGGACAAGGCATTGTTTGCTTGCTAGTTTTGTTGGACATTTTTGGTCTGTTCTGTGGCTGTACATTTTGATGAGGTTTCTTGAACTAGTTTATTGATTTAAGGGAAGTGAAATGTCAACATAAATTATTTCAACTATATAACTCTTCTTGTAAATTTTTGTTAATAAAATGAGAATTCTGTGGAAACTATGAAAATAAAATTTTGATTAAATTATAAGTTTAGTGATGGAGTTTTGGAAGTTGAGTTTATTTAGAACCTGTACTTTAAAAAGTTAGGTGTTTGCCTTTTAGGATTGTGTTTCTTTGGTCCTTATATTTTAAAAGGATTCTTATGAGTTAGACATAAATTTAGAGGAAGAATTATATCATCCTCAAACTTTAAGAAGATCGATTCCTTTACTAAGTTTATATCAATTTATTAAGTAAGTTGATTATCAACCAATTATAACATTTACAAATAGAAAGGGACTAAATTTGAATTTTTTAAAACTAAAAGGACTAATTTGAAAAGAAAAAGAAAAAGAAAACTCAAATGTTAAGGATTATATTAAAATCAGTGTATTAAATTTTTGTCCGCATGTTAACATTTCCATCAATATTTTCATGTGTCCATGGGTTCCACGTTGATACGAGGATAAATTGACATTTCCATGGTATTGGAAAAAATTATCAAAATATGAAAAATATCAATGATATAAACATAATAATATTAATCATTTTAAACTTATTTAGAAACGATGAAATGTCGATTTATAAATTTAAATATTCTTTACGAATTTTTCATTTTTATTATCTTTCCAGAAATATCCATCGACATCAATCTATCGATATTTCTATCAACATTTTCATAAAGTAATTGAGACATCAACATTTTCATTGACATTTAAGACCTTGATTAAAACATATATTAGAGCCGACTTTTCCAATAGTCCTGCAGACAAACATCTGTCTTTAACTTTGACGTCGTTTTTACAGGCTAACTTGAGCATAACTAAATTGGTTAAGACACATATTTTCGATAAAAAAAAAGTCGTGAGTTCGAATCCCTACCTCCATATGTTATACTGAAAAAAAGGTCATTTTTCTTACAAATTCATCTTCTCTACTTTCTTCTCGAATTAACCTCAAAAGCTCACAAAAAATATTCCATACGCAAGAATTTATGATCTATATTTGTCAATGACAAAGGTACTCTCCAATGGCATGGAATATCAAATTTTCATAGATATACTTTATATTAGGTATATCAGAGATATTACTTTATATTATATATATCATTATTTTTCTTATGTGACAAATTTGTAAATATGTGCAACAAGTTTTGCTACCCATATAATTTTTCTATTTATTTAACTTTGTGTGTAGATGGGACAAGGATTACATGTTTTGCACCTTCAAGTGGAGATTGACAAGTATATTCTCTCCAAGTTATATATATATAATATAGATAATTAATAGCAATATGTATATATTATTTACCTTCTAACTTTAAACTTTATAACATGTGTAATCCCAGGACAGATTTTGTAAATACTTGAGCCCTATAATATAAGTACTAATATTTAGAAAAACAAAAAATATACATGTATCTGTATATAACTTTAAATAATTTGTATGACTTTCTCTTGCTTTTCATAATTTTTTTTTTATAGAAATATTCATCGACACCTCCAACATGCATTTTTATTCACATATGATGAAATCGAGATTTTGATATTTTCATTGATATTGACGTAGGACTTTATTTTATGGAAAAAATATATCGTGATGACACATGCACCTCCATACTTGAGGATAGTATTCAATATTCTCAGCCAATTCCATGGATCTAACTGATACTTGAACAAGTATGCAAGGTTTGCAATGGTTGCACTTTGAATCACACACTGCTGGAAATGAGCCCTTCCTCATATGCCTCGTTTCAAACACTCCTTTATGGCTTCCAATTCCCCCTCCTTCCTATTGAAAAAAGTAACAAACTGGTCTAAGAAAGATGCATATCACTCGGAAAACTACTTGCAGTCATTGAAAAGAGAAGAAAGAAAATGTAAATATATACAAGTGTATCTTTCAAAGAACTAGACGTTAGAATATATGACGATATATGTTCAGAAAGGACTCATGACCTCTTGGTGATAGATATATGTCAATTATCGCTGAGCTACGCTCATGTTGGCAAAAATTTATGGTTTTGTAAACTTTAAGGAAAGAGAGAACTTACAGGTGCCGGCGATGGAGCGGTCGAGAGAGTTCTTGAGTGAACGAAACATGAAAGACTCAGCAACGAGAGAGCGAGAATGAGTGCAATAGCGTTTATGACCTTTGGGTGATCCATGCTTTTGTTTGTGTCTACGGATGTTGGTTTTGAGGGGATTTTGGTGATGAATGTCAAGCTCTCTTTGAAGTTTAATTATAAGAATTGTTTTGGAGTGGAAGTGAAGTTGAAATGGTCTTTAATATGAAGTCATATGTGACGGGTGGTTATGAAACTTTAGGGTATTGAAAGGGTCAATATGTCCTTTTACATGTCACATTGTGTAGATCAAAATGAATGTGGCCATCACTCCCTCCAAAAAGTACCATTTAAATTTTGGAGCTTTGGTCATGTAAGGACTTTGTTGTTGTATGCAATTAAGGAGAATTCTTTTTGGATTTTTTTTTTCAAAACGGATACCGTGTGCTTATGCTAGTGGATTTCTATAATCAAGACTCGCTGCTGAGGCTGAGTAACACAATGACCAGCATAGGACTTGAACACAAGACCTTGGCCTAAGATTATACTTTTTAAAAATAAAATTCATTTTGGATAATTTAAATCAAATCATAATTTGATAATATTTTAAATCTTTTATTTGGACATAAACATAACTCAATTAGTTAAGATATTATAAATATTTGTTCCTAATATTAAATATATTTTAAATGAAGCAGTCTTCCAAAGGTATTTTTTAATTCTAGCCGTACGCTTATTATTTATTGATTTATTATATTAATTGCTTGTTTATCTTCTCATGTAAGATTGTCTAAATATTTTGGTAAACCCTTCAAGTAATATGATCTAGGTGTTATTCGTCTTTTAAGTAGAGTTATGAAAATTGAATTGAATTGTTTTTTTTCTTTTCTTTTTTTTTTAATTCAAATTTGTTTTATTTATTATTTATAGAACTTAAAAAAGCACACTAATTATATTATTTTCCCTATTGTTTTTGTCATATTATAATTTAATCTTTAATCTTTTAAATACTTTAATTTCATATTTTATATATTAATTTTTAAAATAAATCTTACTATCACCACACGTTATGTGGAGTATAATATTATTTCTAATGAATATATTTTCCATAGCAACATCCAATTTTGAGGTAATTTAATTTATTATAGATCAAATGATGTGAAGTTGGTATGTTTTTCTGGTTTTATGAATTGACATATCAATTTCATTCAAGAAAAAAGAACTTTATCATTTACACATTTGAAATTTAAAGATAAAATAATAAATGGAAAAATTGAGAGGATGTAACCTATCATTTTTTTCAACAAACTGAGAGGATGAGAGATTGAACATCTGAAGGAAAAAGAGTAGGTTCCAATTACCATTGATATGTTGGGAGACACTTGTAATCCATCATTTAACTTTATTTTCAATTTCAGCATTATATGTTTTTAAAAATTATGTTGTTAACCTTATTATTATTTTTTTTTAATATCCGTAAGTGTCTTGACCAATTTATGCATACTTCAACTAATCTCATGAGACGGTCGTCTGACCCTATAAGATTTGGTGCCGAGAAACACAAAAAATAAATTCATAAAGTAGGTGGTCATCATGTGGTTTGAATACATCCTCAAGAGTAACAAAAATATTGCTAACCTTATTCTTTAGTTAAAACTTTTACCGATTTTGAAGAGTAACAAAAATATGATGTGACTTAATTATTTTGTGAGTATGGAAAATGGATTTCGTAATGTGACATTGTGTATTAATAGTAAGGAGGTTTTACGAAGTTGAAATTGATTATGAAAAAATATAATTTTGAGGTTAAAATGAGTATAGTTAAGTGGTTAACGTATCCATACTTTTTTAAGAAGTTATAAATTTGAATCTCTCCTTGTCTTTATAATGTGATATTCTAAAGACAAAATATGAATTTGAGTAAGAGTTTTAAGGTATTATTTTGAATGAAAGCAGAGAAAATAGTTAAGAGTTAATATTTATTTCGGAGTATAATTACAAATAGCAAATACAGTTGAATTTTCGTTATAAATCACTTTAATTGTTAAATAAATGTATTATTTTATTTTAAGAGCCACTGTTGTAAAGCTGGAGTAGCTCAGTTGGTTAGAGCGTGTGGCTGTTAACCACAAGGTCGAAGGTTCAAGCCCTTCCTCTAGCGTTTTTAAAATCTAATTTTTATTTCAACCATTATATTTTCTTTCGTCGGCTTCATTTTATTCACATGTTTATATAACTTCGTCTAATTCTTTGAATTATAGAATTTCAACTTTAATTGAATATTTCTTATACTTTTAGTATATCTTTCATGAAATAATTCAATTAATGAATGATTTTAGATAACATACAAATCCATTTTGTTTAAGCTTTCATCTTGGGATCAAATCCTTCTGCCCGATTATTTGTTTGTAGATTTAAAAAATAATAAAATAAAAAATATGTTAGTCAATTTCTTTATTATTATTATTTTTAGCACAATATGTTAGAATTCTTGCATTGGTTCTTTTTTATAAACTCTCTGTAATGGCTGCCAAGGGTATAGTTTGTACGTAACTTGGCTATTTAGTGCTTAGCCATTACTGTTCTTAATAACATTCAAAATTTTGATCTTAAAAAGTTGATGTTATTAACATTATTACTTAAACGTTGACATAACCAAACCACTAAAAAAGAGTGACTTCGAAAGAATTGAACGAGGAGCTGTATGAAGTCGAAATCTCATGTACGGTTATGTCAAGTTGCAGTAAGGGTGAATTACTTGTCAACTTTTCTACTATCCAAAAAAATCAAACTATGCCTTACGTAAAGTTGTCATAGTACGGTTTACTTCGAAATTTGAAATCACTATTTATATATTGGTATTGGCCATAATTTACAAAAATATTATGTAGTCTTAGTGAAAAGGGCCGCTCCTTCAAATTTCTCATCGAACTTAGACTCCAAGCTTCACCAATCAGAATCCGAGTTTCACCAATCGATCATTTATGTGATCAAATGTATTGAATAAACAACGTTAATATAAAAGAATAAAAGATTTTATTGAAATTTAAAACTGTGTTTATTTATAATGGAAATAAAGTTGAGTTGAGTTGAGTTCCTTCTCTATATATATAAAAAAAATTTAAGAAATAATAGTTTTAGAGAGTTGAACGATAAATTAAGTATCTTTTCCTCTTTTAGACCACGTGAGGATTTAGAGCAATGTTTTTTGGCTTTATTCTTCAAGCCTTATAAGGTTAGGTACTTTTTTTTGGGTTCCAAAATTAGGGACATTTAAATTCTATACATTTTGATTTTCATAAAAAAAAAAAAAACAAGAAAAGAGAAAAAAGATAATTATTTATTTATTTATTATTTTTTTAACGGTAAGGAAAAAGATAAGTTTAATATGTAAAAATCATTATTTTTAATAATTGAATACCCCAAATTTATCCCTTCCTTGATTGCTAGAGCTTCAGTCGTCACTGGTTTTAGTGCATCTTAATATAGAGACCATCCAGGTATTGGAGTGTGCGTGAGTGTCCAGGGTGCAAGGGAGTGAATCTTCGACTCCTAATTATAAAAAGAAAAAAATATAATAGGTGATTGAGATAATGAATGAATAATTTCATATATAATTTATTAAAAATTAAAATAAGAAACAAAATAATTTTAGGCAAAATATAGAGATTGAAATAATATGTTAAGTAGAAAAGACTAAAATATAATGTTTTGAAAATATATATACCAAAATAGAATAAACATGAAAATGAAAATGTAAATTTTCAAATATAAAGGCATACAAACTATTAAGATTATGACTCCCCATTCTACATGTACTTTGTAATCAAAGTATTTTTTTTCTTCTTAAAACTACTTTTTCTAAAAATATTCTCAAACGCATCAACTTATAAATAAATAGTATTTTAAGTATTGTTTGAACTTTTAAAATTAAATTAACCAATAATCTCAAAAATTTTAAAAATACTTTTAGTCGGTAAAAAATAAAACACCTTTCAACTTTAAAAAAAATCCCAAATCCATCCCATATCCACTCTAAAATTTTGTTAGGAAGGTTAAAAAAAAAAGTATTTGGTGAGAAATTTTACTTCATAATATAAATTTAATATGTATTTTAAAAAACATCGTAATTTTTAAATTTTTTAGAAAATAGTCCGAATTTAACTTTTTATATTATGTACTTAGTTTATCTCTTAAGTTACAGCGAAATTTGAATTATGCTATTTTTTTTTTTTGAAAAGTTTTAAAATTTTAAAAATACGTATATTATTTATTTATTTGAGTGGCCTCATCAAATATGAACATTGTAACGAAAAGCCCCCACAATTCTCCTTTCTAGAAAGATTTTCCGTGTGTTTCTCTCTTCTATTCGTTTTCTAATTCCGGTTTTCCTCTCTCTATTGTTGAAAATTTTCTGTTAAAATCAATTTTAAAAGTTGGAGGATTCGGATTTGGCATAATAATCAAACCCCCTTCTGTCTCGACAGATTTCACACGGATCAATTCTCGATTTCTCTTTGGTCTTCGAGTCGCAAAGACTGAAAGGCACTGCCTTCTTTAACACGAATTGGACCTCCATTAAAGCAAACCCAACAACCCCATTTGTCTTTTCTCATTCAGAACACCAAAAAAGGGGCGCCCTTCCTCCCGGCAGCGGCAGCGGCGGCGGCGGATTTCTTCTTATAGAATTTGTTTGATCCTTTGGAAAAATTTAGCTTTGTTTTGATTTGATTGATCTTAGAGGTGGAAAACCCACTAGCGAATTTTTGGAATTCGTTTGTTTTGATCATCTGGGAATGTCCTGTATGGAGCTCCAAAAGTCGGGGTTGAGTTTGTTTTTAGGGTTTCTTCTTGTGCTGTCTTTGGTGCCACTGTCTGCGGCGAAGTTCGTGGTTGAAAAGAACAGCTTGAGGGTCACATCGCCCGAGGATTTGAAAGGCACCTACGACAGTGCTATTGGGAATTTTGGGATTCCTCAATATGGAGGCAGCATGTCGGGGACTGTGGTGTATCCCAAGGAGAATCAGAAGGGTTGCAGGGAGTTCAGCGATGCCGGGATTTCGTTCCAGTCGAAGCCAGGAGCTCTCCCTACCTTTGTTTTGGTTGATCGGGGAGGTAAGTTTCGTTTTTAATTGTAGTTTGGTTCTTGGTAATTCTTTGGTTGCTTCATTTGAGGCTAAATTGGGCAATTGACGAAATAATTTCACTTAAAACCTTTGTTTTTGTAGTTAACTATACTGCATATTTTCATCATGCTAATTGAATTCTTTATTTGAATGCTGCTTGAGTTTGTGACTGTAATGGTTCATATCATTGAGCGAGATAATCCAGTAGTTTGGTTCTTGAGTTTTTCAGGAGTTTTGTTATATTGAGAGGCCTCCTAATTTTTTTCTTTTGTTTCTTTTTGGATAAGGAAACTGAAATTTTGTATCTTGAGAAAAAGTAGATTGATTAGAGGGAGAGGATTAGGAATCGCCGGACCACCACAAGGCTTACCAATTGACATTAATGAGAAAGGTGGAGTAGTAACAAGAAATTTGAGAAAGGTGGAGTAGTTACAAAAGGTCTACCATGAGAACTCCAGGAAGAGGAAACAAAATGCACTTATATAATGAACTTTAAAACATCCCTCTACTCACCCTAATCTTTTTAAGCCACAGATACCACAAATGAGCTTTCCATTCATTCTTCCATACTGACTTTGGCCTTTTCCAGACTACAATATCATTGGGAACATATTACGAGCAACGATAGTTGCAATTGGATATGTTAAAACAAGCAGTTAATGTTTCTACTGTCCAATTTATGCATCACGCAGAAGGGATTGGGGATGGGTGGGTAGGTGTGCTGTGGTATGGAATTCTTCTTTTAGATACATTTTAAATCAGCATTAGGCCACTTTTGCGATTTTTATTAATCCCAGCACATATAGTATAACTTCAAAAACACTATTTGTATGAAGAATGGACTTTCTGTTTAAATATTGAGAAGTAAAGAAAGGGATTTATTCCCTGGTTTAAAATTCTGATAAACTTTGTTATATGGTTATATTGATCTGTACTCTGGCTTCATTAGGAAAATATTTTTTGGGGTATTGACTTTTTGCTTTTCATGCCGGCTTCCAGATTGTTTCTTTGCCTTGAAGGTCTGGAATGCACAGAAGGCTGGTGCTTCTGCAGTTCTTGTTGCAGACAATGTTGAGGAAAAATTGATAACTATGGACTCCCCTGAAGAGGATGGTTCTTCCGCAAAATACATTGAAAACATAACAATACCATCTGCCCTTATTGAAAAAAGTTTTAGTGAAAAACTGAAAAAACAGATCAGTTCTGGAGAAATGGTGAGTGTGAGTCTTGATTGGAGGGAAGCTGTACCTCACCCTGATGATCGTGTGGAATATGAGTTATGGACTAACAGTAATGATGAATGTGGTGTTAAGTGTGACATGCTGATGGAATTCTTGAAGGATTTTAAAGGGGCAGCCCAGTTACTCGAAAAGGGTGGTTACTCACAGTTCACACCACATTATATAACCTGGTATTGCCCACAGGCATTCATTCTAAGCAAGCAGTGCAAGTCCCAATGCATCAATCAGGGGAGGTATTGTGCTCCTGATCCTGAACAGGATTTCAGTTCTGGCTATGAAGGGAAAGATGTGGTTATTGAAAACTTAAGGCAGCTATGTGTTTTCAAAGTGGCCAACGAGACTCAAAAACCTTGGGTTTGGTGGGACTATGTGACAGATTTTCAGATTAGATGTCCAATGAAGGAGAAAAAGTACAACAAGGATTGTGCTGATAATGTTATTAGGTCTCTTGGTATGTAGGTTCTGATTGCATATTATATTGTGGAGGATACAGGTCCAGAATAATAATGGTTTTCTTCTTAAATTCATTTCTTGACATATGTACAGGGCTTGATGGTAAAAAGATAGAGAAGTGCATGGGGGACCCAAATGCTGATACTGAAAATCCAGTTCTGAAAGAAGAGCAAGATGCTCAAGTCCGTGTTTCCTACAGACATCCCTTCCCCTGCCTCTAAAAAATCAAATTTTGATTATTTCAGTGATATTCTTAATTGACAGCACAAGAAGATTCTTGTATTTATCTCCTATTAGGGATATACTAATTTCCAATACCTAATCTTGCCTGACATAAATTCCTTTTGTAGGTAGGGAAAGGTTCTAGAGGGGATGTTACCATACTGCCAACCCTTGTTGTCAATAATCGACAATATCGAGGTATGTTGTGCTCACTTTTTGTGACCTTTGTTCGGAACATTTCCTTTGCTAACCCAAGTGGTATCTGCAGGAAAATTGGAGAAAGGTGCAGTTCTGAAGGCCATATGTTCGGGTTTTGAGGAAACAACTGAACCTGCCATTTGTTTGAGTAGTGGTATGTCATTAATGGTTTCTTGACTGGTTCATCCATAAACACTGTGGTTATTATTTGCTCATCTACTTTACCTCGACTTAACAATTTTTAACTTGCGGAACCGATCATTACAGATGTAGAGACCAATGAATGCTTAGATAATAATGGCGGTTGCTGGCAGGATAAAGCAGCCAACCTAACAGCCTGCAAGGTATGAATCAAGAACATCTGGCAAACCAGGTGTCAAGTTGCAGTAAGTTATACTCAGGGTAGATTACATCAGAAGTCTATTACTTTGTGTTATTTTCTATTGACAGTTTTGATTTTCTTAGGATACTTTTCGTGGGAGGGTATGTGAGTGCCCACTTGTTGATGGTGTGCAGTTCAAAGGAGATGGTTACACCACTTGTGCAGGTACAAGTTATTCATCTTCTTGTCTATGATGATGCATCGAGACAATATAGATATATTGACCAAATTCTAATCAAATATTAGTAGTAGTTACCTTAAAATTTTGAAAGATAAGGTATCAAGACTATTGTGTTCAAGCACTCTTTTTTGGCTAGTTTATCGCGTCATCTTTTTTCTTAATTTTTTTGGGGACAATTTTAATTTTCAACAGGATTATTTGATGCATAGATGACAGTATCCACTTTTTTGATGATTTTAATATTTAATCTCTCTACTATTTCTCATGTTAATCACTATACTAACAGTAGAATAAATGCATTTTTTTTCCAATTACAATGAGTGTTCAGACTAGCTTACGTATTCCTTGGAACAATTCCATATCTTTTAGTAGCATTTGGCATCTAGAAAATCATTTTATATTTAACATAAACTTATTGAATATCTAGTGGTTATCTAAAACGGTTTTCAAAATAGTTCTCTATTTTTTACAATCATAAAAACAGGTTGGGATAACTATATTTTTAGAAGTTTTTTCTTTGTTTTCTTTTACTGTGTTCTCACAAATGCTTTTTTTTTTCTTTTATAAAAAAAAGTAAAAAATTTCATTCCACAAGTTATAGATTTATGAATAGCAATTTTTTTTCTGAACAAAATACGAACTTTTCATAGATAAATAAAAAGGAAGAAGATTGTTCAATGATACAAACTCCTAAGGGAGTGAAAAGAGAAAGAAAAGCTAAAATATTAGAAGCAAAGTCAAAGGGGAGTTGTAAAAGCCTCCCCGTTTATACAAATCATGCTAAGAGAATACGAAGAAAAGAAACCGGAAAGAGCACACCATTGAGAGGCTTTGAACTTAGCTAGGTTGAAGCAATCAATTGATGATCTTCGAGAGCCTTCAAAGTCCTTTGGTTTCTTTCCAACCATAATTCTGAAAAAATAGCTTTGAGGCCGTTGACCCATAATAAATTAGGGTACAATGAGCTTTATAAGTAATCTCATCCAATCATAAATTTGAAAAATAGTTTTTGCAAACAAGAATAGACTACTATTTTCAAAACAATCCTCCAAACAACTCCCAGTAGGTGGTCACCATAGTTTTTAATGGAATATAAACTTTCCTTTCTTTTTCTATTGGACATCCACTATATTATTTAATTTATAATATACGAAAGAAGGAATTTTTAAATTCAAACCATGTTATATTTATAATGATAATAATATAGGCTTCATTCTTTTGGATAAAGTTTGTTAAACTTATGGTTGATCAAGTTTAGCTAAATTTTAATTAGTTTTGTCGCATGTGATTGAGACCATTATTTTAAAAATAATTAATAAGCTTCATTTTTGTCATATATAATTTAGCTTTACATTTCATAGAAGTTATTTTTGGCACTAATCTTCAGTCTACGGACAATAATCTGAATTTTTTTGACTTCCTTTCTTTCATCCACTTTAATCTGATTTCTTGCCTCCAACTAATCTCCGACCCATGGACGATTATCTCAAACTTTCTTTTAAGTGTCGTCCTTTCTTCCTTGAACTTACCTTCCAGCCCATTCCCATCTAAAGCCTGTATTCTATTGATAATCTCCTTGACTTGCTGAACACTTCAACTTTCCATTCATTCAAAACAGGCCTAAGAAAAACACGATTAGTAAATGTTAAAAATATGGCACATCTTCTAGCCTTTCCYTGGAGTTACTCATTTAAATTCTTTTGTAGCTATACTTTGGGGCATTCGATTATACTGGTGGGTATGGAATGCACTCCAATGGTTGGGATTTGAGGTCCGGTTACTTGGAAACTTTAGGAACCATTGGAAGGTGTTCTCTCGGTGTTTTTCCTTATCCTTCTGTTTTATTAAGTATTCTGCTATGGATGATAGTAAGGTCTGTTTTGGAAGAACCTTTGGCTTCAAGATAGTTCTTTCTAGTCATGGTTTTGGCAGTTCATATTCTTCGTTTCTTTCTAAGATCTTCTCAATCTCGTCAGTTATTTTACCAATAGGGAATTCCTCTTTAAATCTTTGTGATAGAGAGAACCTTGGGCTGTAACCTCTCTCCTTTCTATTTTTAATCGAGTTACTCTTGTTGATGTGCATAGAGATTGTCGTGGTTGTGGTTGGTCCAACGATCCTTATGATGGTTTTACTTGTATGTTGCTGTATAGTCATTCGGTTTCTTGGTATTCCTCATGTTCTCCCTCTTATTTCTTTAAAATTTGGAAGTTGAAGATCCCAAAGAAATCCAATCTTTCTTTTTTGGTTTAAATGAAAATTTGCTTTCATTAAAAAGAAATGCAAGAATGAAAGAATGAAAGGGGCATACCAAAAAACAGCCAAACAAAAAGGAGCCCAAAACCCTCAACTGCCTATTAAAAAAGCCTTAGTTACACCTTGGATTTTATTAAGAAAGCATCTACATTTATCCTTGGCGCCATTTGGTATATTATGTGCAAATGTTATTCTGAATCTGATGACTTAAACCACTGGGTGGCTTTGTCTTTTAGAGTGTGGTGTTGTCTCTGGTAGACTTTTGGCATTTCTATGGTGTACCGATGGAAGTTGTATTTTGTGTTGCCACTGGTAGACTTTTTTTTCTCCTGATTTTTTTTTTAAATTTTAAATAAAGGCTATTTACTTTGGCCAGCTAGTTTCTTTACATTGTCAATCTGTAGTTTTTTGAGAAGTAATGAATCAAGGCTTAGTCTCATATGCAAGTATTTACTTATTTGCGTATTACATGCTGCCTTACCTTCAAACTGCCTATGAATTTCAGATCTATCAGTAAAAAGCTTGACCCATTTTTTCTCTAGGTTTTTGATTTTGCGGCCTATGCTAAATAAATATTATAATCATTTTGGCTTTCAGCAAGTGGGCCTGCGAGGTGCAAAATCAATAATGGAGGATGTTGGCACGATACCCGGAATGGATTTACATTCTCTGCTTGTACAGTTAGTCATCTTCACCTTCCCCTTTAAATTTCCTTTATCCTTTTCCTCTAGTAGTTGATAACACTTACCATTTCTAAACAGGATGAGGGTAATGTGAAATGCTCGTGTCCTCCAGGATTTAAAGGTGATGGTGTTAAAAGCTGTGAAGGTATGGAGACTTGCTAATCATAAATTGTTGTCAGTATTGCTTGTAAGCTAAAGTGAATCATGCCATTGGCATGTATTGGTAGAGTGAAAAGATTCAAGATGAAACTCTTCAACCTAGCAACCCTAGAGAGATGTCACTTTGTCCCT